AAAAGTTTAAATAAAACCTTGATATCTTAAAAATAATTTAATATTTTTAACTATACCCTTCTTAACTATTTTATATAAGTTCTTTAATAAATAAAATTGAAATTTCAATTTATTATTTTAAAAAATAATAAATAAATTTGTAAGGATATAGTTAAAAATACTTATAAAAAATATATAATATTCCATATTTATGCCAAATAATTTTTTAGAAGACGTGCAGTATTATGATTGAGGGAGTAATGATTGAGTAGTTTTGGGGCCAAATAAAGCCCCTTAAAATCAATCAAAAAAGAAATATTTTTTCTTATTTGGACGTGAGAAACAAATAAACGATCTTTGTAAAAGAAATATTTTACATCTTCGTGGAAAATCTTAACTTCATTGTACAATGAACCGCGTCTGAAAAGCAGAAAAGGTTATTTTGTTGGCAAATTTAAAAAAAAATGCAGAAAAAGTTCAGTTGATTGAGTCAAAAAGAGTAAGCAAAAGACAAATTTTCATTATTTCGTTAAAATTTTCTACTTCCTTAAAAAGATGTCAATAAAATCTCTTAAAAATATGTAAATAATAATTGAGTTTTTTTTGTCAAAATATAATTAATTATTTAAAAATTTTTAGATATCTTTTTATATTAATAATTTTAGATTAAATAACTATTATCTCTTATTTAATATAAAAAAATAATGAATTCACATAGAAAATTATAATTTTTTATTTAATTTTATGATTCATAGAGTAAAAATTATGATCGTTTAAACAAAAGTTATAATTAATTATTTTTAAAATATAAATTTCAATGATAAAAAAAATCACATGAAAAGTTACAATTTTTTGTTGAATTTTTGTGATACGCAAAATGAAAGTTGTGACTCATTATTTTTAAAATTTAAACTTTAATGATAAAAAAATTTTCACTTAAAAAATTGTGACTTTTTATTTAATTTTTGTAATTTACAATAAAATTTATGATTGTTTAAATGAAAATTATAATTTTGTTAGTAAAAAAACAAAGGTATAATTAAAAATAATTATTTTTAAAACTTATTTATTAATCATAAAATAAATTTAATGAGGAAGTTATTCAATTTTTACAATTCATTGAATAGTTGTGATTTAGAAAATAGAAATACACCTGTTACTTTTTTTTAAACAAAGAATAATTTAATTATTTAACCTAAAATCATTAATACCATAAACGTATATAAAGATTTCAAAAAATTATAATATTTTAAGAGATTTAATTATCATCTATATATTTTGAAGGAGTTTTATTATCATTTTTCAAACTTCCTTTCTTTATTGGTAAAAGGAAATTTTTAATTAGTTCAAACTAAAAATAAAATGAAGCGTTTTTTTTTATTTGGACATAAAGATTAAGGATTTTTAATTACTTTAAACAAGAAAAACCCAAAAAAGAAAGTGATGTTGACTTGCAGCTGGGGACGCAAGTTTTTCAAAATTTCATGGAAATTTCTTCTTATTTTAAACAAGAAATTTCCACCGACAGTTTTAACTTGCAATAAAAACAATGCCTCACTAGTCGAGGCTCATTGACTCATTTTTCTACTTCCTGGAAATTTTCCTGTTAACGTTAATTTGAACAAAGGCTCAATATTATGGAACTTATTTATACATTACTAACATTTAAATAAATTAAATATGTACTATCAGTTATAGTCATTTGTTAATTTTAAATAAATTATTTATCAAAACTCAAATAAATGTTTGTTTATGTATGACCAACACATGAATAATTGAATATGTACTATTAATTATAATCAATTATTAATTTTGAATGAATTATTGTTAATTATATGTAAGTTTATTTGTTAAAATTTAAATAGATGCTTGTTTATGTATAACTAATACTTGTACAATTAAAATTATGTTATTTAATTTTGTAACTTATTTATTTTTAAATAGATTATTATTAATTATGTGTGATTATTTATCAAAACTCAAATCAACGGTTATTTATGCACACATCTATATAATTTTAAGAATGCTTAGACCTTTTCTCATAAAAAGTTTATTTTCATGTAGGCACTGGGGAATGCAGTTACATTTTCAGGCCCTTCTCTTTTACTTTTGGCCGAAAAAAAAAAAGTCCTTCTCTTATATAAAATCTCTCCACGGATACTTGGATAACATTTTCTCAAGGAAAAAGAAAAAGTTTTTGACCGGGTCAAAAAGGGCTTATGATCATGAAGATTTTTTTTTTCCATATTTTGTCGAAATTTCTGCGTAGCTTCCTTTTTTATTTTCAGTTGGTACAAGAAAGTTTTGTTCAATTTAAACAAATAGAAACACAAAAGAGAAAAGGCTTGTACTCATTTGAATAAAATAAGAAAATTGAAAAATTTGTTCTGTTTTTAAAATTTTTTTCTATTTTTGAAAATAAATTTTAAAACTCATTTAAATAAGTGTTACAAATTTAATTGTTTCCTAAATTACTTTCACTTTTTGCTTTTAAAAAAAATAGAAACATTTTAAAGTTATTTTTTATTTTATTTTTCATGTTTTTCAAGATACATTTGATTATTTAAAATTATAATCATTTTACCAATCATCATCATAAACTACCATCATTACTCATTAGCACTAATTATTGTCATTATTAGGCAAATTTTTTATTTTTAAATTGTTTTTAAATTAAGCTACTTAAATATTCTTCTTTTTTTTTGTTTTGAAAACAACTTTCAAAAATTGATCTACAAAATAATTTTTAAAAACAAAAAGTGAGAATAAAAACTAAACAAGTCCTTGATTATTCTCTTACGTTCTTAATGAAAGGAAAATTTTGAAAAGCTCATTTTCTTAATATAAATTAAAGTTAGATTAGTTAATTTTATGTTTCAATAGTACCCATATTTATTTATTATAGTTTGAATTCTTAAATGTAAATTTATTATGATTATTATTAGATTAAGGATTATTTTACTCCTCTACTATTCATATGGTATAATTCCTTTTTCAAAATCTGGAAATAATACATCGAACACCTTGTCATTAAAAGAGTTAATTTTGACGTTAGTTGACTTAAAAATAACCTTAAAAATAAAAAACCCATAAAATACATATAAGTACCTTATAAAAATAGAAAAAAAATTAATTATTTAGTCTACATAATTTTGGCTCAATTATAACTCAATTCTTGAATTTTGACTCATTTTAAGTCAATCCTTATAATTTTAACTTCGTTGTAACTCAATTCTTGAACTTTTCCCTTTACAATTAGTCAATATAGTTTTAACCACTTAAATATTAATTTTTATATTTTAAAAATAAAATTAAAAATATTAAAAATATTTTAAGCCTTTAATATTTATAATATTTATAAGATTAAAAGGGTTTAATAATTTAAAATGTTAGTAATAAATTTTAACATAATTATAATCTTATAATTTTTTAACTAATATTATAAATATTAAAATTTCAAAATATTATAATTTTAATCTTTTAATTTTTAAATATTATAAATAATAAAATTTTAAAATATTTTTAATCTTTATAATTTTATTTTTTAAAATATAAGGATCGATATTTAAGTGGTTGAAACTATAGAAACTAAATTGCAAGAGGCAAAATTCAAAACCTGAGTTATAACCAAGCTAAAATTATAAAGACTGAATTACAATGGGTTAAAATTTAGAGATTGAGTTATAATTAGGCCAAAATTACAGAGATCAAAATGATTAATTTTTTTCTAAAAAATAATATAAATTAAGCCTTCTAAATTTTTTGTGTGTGTGTGTGTGTAACAGCATTAGAAATGTACTAAATCATATGTACTAGTACAACTTTACTCTTATTCTTCTGTGATTGATTTTGTCATTTCACGATAAGGCCTTGGTTTTTCAAGAAAGTTATAGCCTTACTTATTCAATTGTCATATATTCTCAATAGTTAATAGTTAATTACCATCACATACTTTCTCTTAATCACATATAAGATATTAATAAGTAATTACTTTATGGTTCTCAAAAAAATTAAGGTAAAACCTTAAAAAAATTTTACATTTTTAATCATATTCTTATTAAATATTATATATAAGTGTTTTGATAATAGAAATTTAAATTCCAATATATCATTTTTTTAAAAAAAATAATAAATGAATTAGTAAGGATATAGTTAAAAATAATTATAAAAAATATTTAATGTCTTATATTTTAGATATAGTAATATTTTTAGCAGACGGCATATATTATAATTGGAGGGAACAATAATTTAGAAGTTTTGCGGTAAAGCCCCTCAAAATCAAACAAAAAAGAAATATTTTTTTCTTATTTGGACGTGAGAAACAAATAAACGATCTTTGTACAGACCCATTTTTATTACACCTTTGTGGAAAATCCTACTTCATAGTACAATAAACCGTGTCTGAAAACTAGAAAACGAAAAAAAAAAAGTAAACAAAAAAAAACAGAAAGAACCACATTTTGACTGAGTCAAAAAGAATTAGGAAAAGAAAAATTTTCATATTTCTTTGAAATTTCTACTCACTTTCTTCTTTAATTAATTTATTTTCAAAACTTCCTAAAACTTTTTAATTACTTTAAACAAGAAAAACTTAAAAGGGAAGGGGCTGTTGACTTGTAGTCAAAAAGAGCTGGGGACCAAAATTATTTTGTGGAAATTTCTTCTTATTTTAAACAAGAAATTTCCACCGACAGTTTTAACTTGCAATAAAAACAATGCCTCACTAGTCGAGGCTCATTGACTCATTTTTCTACTTCCTAGAAATTTCCCTGTTAACTTCAATTTGAACAAAGGCTCGGCATACTCACTCATTTTTCTGTTGTGTCGATCTCATTCCCAGGATTAGCAAATTCGCCCAATCAACTTCAAGTCTTCAACCTTTGATTTGATTTAGTCACGCCCACCAAGGTATTCATCTGATCTTTCTCCCCCCTTCCCTAACAACTTAAACGCTTTTCTTTCTTTGTCTTTTTAAAATCAACAACCTATAAAACTTTGTTTTTTTGTTTTTGGTGCCTCAGCAGTGGCTATGTTTGCTTCTGCTTCTTCTTCCCGAGTGAAATATGATGTTTTCATCAGCTTTCGAGGTTCAGACATCAGATTTGGTTTTCTCAGCCATTTGACAACGTCATTGCGTGGAAAGCAGATAGATGTCTATGTGGATGACAGGCTTGAGAGAGGGGATGAAATATCATTGGCACTTAAGGAAGCCATAGAAGGATCAATGATTGCGTTGGTCATATTCTCCAAAGATTATGCTTCTTCAAAGTGGTGCTTGCAAGAGCTTGTCAAAATCATGGAATGTAAGGAAGCAAGCGGACAAATTGTGTTACCAGTTTTCTATTGTGTAGATCCTTCAGATGTCAGGCGTCAAAAACGAACTTATGCAGATGCATTTACACATCTTGAACAGAAGTTTATGGATAACTCAAACGAGTTGAAAAATTGGAGATCTGTCTTGAAGAAAACCGCAGACTTATCTGGTTATCATTCATCAAATTTTCAGTAAGTTTTAGTTATCATCATTTTATAGTTTTCCAAAAGCCCTTTCTTAGTCACCCCCAAAATGATTTAGAATATGGTAATACCAAATTATGTCTATGCATTTATTATTCTTATATCATGAGTAGGTTGTAATTTTGTTTTCTTTTATTTTCAACATGCTAGAAATGAATCACAGCTCATTAATGCAATAGTCCGTGATGTCCTAAAAAAATTGGAAGATAACAACCTAGTTATGCCAAAATCCCAGCTTGTTGGATTTCATCACAATCTCGACATTGTTGAATCATTAATGAAAATTAAATCAAAAGAAGTTCGAGTTATTGGTATTTGGGGTGTTGGTGGCATAGGCAAAACAACCCTGGCTCAAGCTACATTTGACAAATTCTCTTCTCAATTTGAAAGCTGTTGCTTCATAGAAAATGTGAGAGAGGAATCAACAAGGATCAATGGTTTGAGTTATTTGCGTCAAAAGCTTCTTTCTAAGCTATTAGACCAAGTTGAAGATCTTCCCATTAATATGAAAAATGCAATGAAAGGTTGTCACGGAAAAAAGTCTTGATTGTGCTTGATGATGTGTCCAATTCAAAGCAATTAAAAGATCTTGCTATACAACAACTTGAGTTGGGGCTTTGCAGCAGAGTAATTGTTACAAGTAGAGACAAGCATGTTTTTAGGAGTGGAGGGATTCATGGCGAATATATACATGAAGTCAAAGAGTTGGATTTTGGAGAATCACTAAAACTTTTTTGTGTACATGCCTTCAATCAAACTCATCCTAATATTGGATATGAAGAGCTATCGAAAATGACAGTTGCCTATGCTAAAGGCATTCCTCTAGCTTTAGAAGTTTTGGGTTCCCATTTTCATTTGAGAAGTAAAGAATATTGGGGGAGTGAGCTTGACAAACTCAAAACTTGTCCCCATCCGGGAATACAAAGTATATTGAAGGTTAGTTATGATGGATTAGATGTCATGGATAGGGAAATATTTTTAGACATTGCATTTTTTTTAACTGGAGAAGGCAAAAAATCACGTTACTCAAACACTAGAGGCTTGTGGTTTTAGAGCAATAAGTGGAATTGAGAATCTCACAGATAAAGCTCTCATAAAAACAAATCATGATGGTAAAATTGTAGTGCATGATTTGTTTCAAGAAATGGGTAAGCAAATAGTTCATGAGGAATATCCAAAACATCTTGAATTACGTAGCCGATTAAATGATGCAAATGAAATTTGTGAGGTATTGCAAAGGAACAAGGTAAGTGAAATATATATCATTTTTTCTTTTTATCTTTTTGGAATAACTTTTTTAAATAATTAATATTATTTTTTCAGGGAACTGATAAAATTGAAGGCATCATATTGGATTGGAATAGAATAAATCATTTACGATGGAGCCCCAATGCCCTCACAAAGATGACAAATTTAAGAATTCTCAAAATTTGTCATCCTTGGTATTGGTCCAAGGGGAACAATAATGTAGAACTTCCTTTGATCTTGGCTCTTTTCCTAATAAATTAAGGTATTTTTATTGGGATCTATATCCATTGGAGTTTTTGCCATTAGAAGGCTATTGTTTCGAGAACCTTGTTGTGCTATGCATGCAACACAGCAATATTAAAAAGCTTTGGGATGGAGTGCAGGTACTTATATATATACACTAATTGATGTGTGTGTGTGTGTGTGTGTTCAATTTAATTAAATTATTAGGCTTTTATGCTTAAAATTTTTTTCCGTTTCCATTGTCACAGGATCTTGTGAATTTAAAGATGTTAGATTTGAGGAGGTCCAGACAATTGATGGAGCTGCCTGATTTCTCTATGGCATGCAATCTTGAAGAAGTCAATCTCGAGGGTTGTGAAAGTCTACATAGTGTTCATCCATCTATTTTATCTCTCCAATCTCTCGTTGGATTGGATGTCTCTGATTGCAGGGAATTAGAGAGCCTTGAAAGTGAGACTCATTTAGAATCTCTCTCTGATCTTGGTGTTCATAATTGTCAAGCCTCAAGAAATTCTCTTTATCATCAAAGAAATTGGGAAGTTTGTGTTTCGATGGGACTGGAGTTGAAATATTGCATTTGCTACCAATGGGAGGTTTCACGGAACTGAGAGATCTTGAGATTTTTGGTGAAAGATTAAGGAGCCTTCCGATAAGTGAGCTATGTGGCTTGACAAATCTTGAGGCATTTGAAATTTGGGATTTCCAGCAGGTGATTCACAAAACAGAGCTGAGCTCTCTTTTTGATGCTTGGCGTAATTTAAAAATACTAAGTTTGGAAAGATGCAGTTACTTGCTGGAAATCCCTGACAATATCAAGGCCTTAATAAGCTTAAAACACATTTCCCTGAGAGACTGTGAGATGCTTAAGTCTATACTTGGACTTCCTCCCTTCCTTGAAGATTTAGATGCTGAAGGATGCACTTCATTGGAGATCGTATTGTCTGACTCTCTAGTTCAAAATCAGTGTCGATTTGATTTCCAAGAGTGTATAAAGTTGGATGAGTGTTCTCTTCGCTTCATTGAGAAACTAACTCATTTCTCTTTCACTTCAGCCAAGGCTAAGTGGCTTCCTAATGTTGGGGCTTGTTACGTGGAAGCAGAGTTCCAAAATGGATGGAATATAAACATCAGACAGAGGCTTCCAAATTTCGTCCAATTTTTTTTAACAATTCTTTAATGTGGTGTGTGTGTGTGTGTGTGTTTTGTTTATTATTTCTCTACATAGTTTTTATACAGTATAGTACTCTAATGTGTATAATAACTATTGTAGATTATACCGACAACACATACAAAACAACACACACACATATATTTGTTGGAGATAGATGTAATTTTTTTTTAAGAGTGTACTTTTGCTATCTACTTTGTTTTAAACTTTATATTTATTGATTGATCCTGTATTTACATTTTATTTGTGAGGATAATATTTTTTGGATCACCAAATTGTTCTATATAATTTTCATATACTTCTGATAACAAATTCTAACGTAATTTGTGTGATTATAAAATAGGTGTGTTTTTGGAATAAAATAAATTGTTGTTTATTTATAGTATGTGAAACTTTTGTGAAATTGATGAAGCTATTTACATGCGAAAATTTTTTACAACTTTTGAAGATTACCTTTAATCAAATTATATCTGTTAGTTAAACCAAAAGTGAAATAAACAAAGGTATTTTTAAAGATTATTCAAATGCTGCATTTAATTTCGTAAAACTCTAGTATATTATCAACATATAGTAAGTGCATTTTCAGGCCAAAAAAAAAAAAAACAAGTTATAGGTAAGATCTTGTATATAGGATTGGAGGAAGTAAAAGAGAAAAACACAAAGCTTGTTGATAGTATTTTAATTTATGTAAGATATGAAGTCTTAATGGATCACCCTAGGCTGACCTTAAACTAATTTGTCCATTATCATTTCTTGTTTACAGTGTCTCCTTTATGACTAATAAATAAATCTCATCATTTTTTTACGGTATAATTTTGTTGCCTTGCTTTGTTTTGACAGGTGTGTTAGTCTGAGCATGACTTATAAGTGAGAGTTTGTAAATGACTGCTGAAATTTTATGATTTTTGTCAGTTAACATATTTTGAATATTTTATTTTCTGACCTGATTGAGATTTTGTCCTTGTGCTAAGTTGTCTTGCTCTTTCCCCTAACATGTGAAAATGCTCATTCTATTCAATGTGCCTGAAATTTTAATTATTCTTTTGCATAGTGTAAAGTGGATTAAAATGTTGTTGGGCTAAAACTGCCCTTTTTGAACACTAGAATTGTGTTTTAATTTTGGGATAATGAAATTTTTAATATTTCAAATTTGCTTTATTATCAATTTAATCTTTCAAGTTTAATTTTTATGAATTTGGTTCATTAAGTTGTTTTAATTATTGATTTAGTCTTTATTGTATAAATAGGAGGTAACAATGTAAAACTTTGCTGACATAAATAACAAAATTAAAAAAACGAAATTATTTTGGTAGAAAAAAAAAGACTTAGAAATTTAAAGAAAAAAAGAACAAAATGTTGTATGAGGTACTAGATTAATAAAAATTAAACTAATTTAAAAGTTAACTTATTTTCATTTACTAACATATACATATTGAGTTATTAAAATACTTCATATATTAATTTGGGATGAGAAAATATCAAGAAGGAAAGTGTAATATATTGTTCACAAAACCCAAGGCTAATTATTCCTTATATAGAGGAGATACTGAAAACCCTAGAGCTTTATACAGAGGCGATGTGTACAATGAATAATGAACAATAACAAATGAATACCATCAAATGGATTCTCAGTTCTAGTGGGCTCAACCCTTTGGTCCATGTGTTATTATCTTGGGCTTAAGTTTGTTGGGCTGCGCCTTGTTCATAGACTTCATTAATGTTTTGACAGAATAAATTTGTGTTTTAAAACGTAAGTAACTAATAAAATGATAATTTAAAAAATATAAAAAAAATAAATAAATCAAAATAAAACTTAAAAAGCCTAAATCAATAATAGAGACAAATTTAATGGATTAACAATTTTATTATCTCTTCAATTTTTGTTCTTCAGCTTTGATTATCATGAAGAAAGTTTCAAAATATTTATTTTGCTCCTTATCCTTACCTTGATATAATATTTAATGCCTCTCTTTTTTTGTAGTCTAGTAATGCAGTGCTGTCAACTTCCTTGAATCCTTGTTTGTTGATCAATTTGTGTGGCTTGGCAAATCTGGTGCATTTCATCAATTGTTTTTTAGCCCTGACATGGATAGATTTTGTTTGTGCAATGCAGTTGCTTCTTGTCTCAAGAGCAAGTCCAAAATGCAATGGTGAAGAGTCTTTTTGCTAATGATCATTGAGGTGTCTTTGACATGTGAATCATATGTAACAGGGTACCATTATTGTGACAATTTTATATTTAATTTCCTTATAGCAGAAACATCATTATCTCGCTTCCTCAACTAGCCGTTGCATGTGGGTATTGTATAGCCTTTTATATGGAATAAACCAGTGATTCGTTTTGATTTATATATTGTCAAATCCTAATTTTTAAAACTTTCCCAATACAATTGGGAGCGATATGGTTCAGGAGAAACGGAAATTAAAGATCATAAATTAAAATTCACAAATTATTCACCGGATTATTGCTTATTTGGTAAGTTTAGAATTTTTGCTAAACTTTAAAAGTTCATAACCAAATCTAGAAAATTCATATCTTGAAAGCTATTAAAGTCATTTAAGTGATAAAAATACATTTTAAACCCTTTTTAGTTTCAAATAGTACATTTTATTCATTTTTTTTTAAATTTGCTCTATTTCTTTGACAGAATCTATGCCATAATTTGAAAAATTCATTACTCAAGTTGTACATGTCCAAATGATCTGGTTTAGGACTTTTTAGAAATCTATATATATCAAGTTTTATCATAAAAATTCTCATGAGCATTGAATATGGGTTATTATACATTAAATAATAAAATAGTAACCCTCCTCTAAAAAGAGTTTAAGCTAAACAATCACAATCATACATATTAAAATCATGATTTCAAAGCTAGTTTAGGACTCTATATTGGTCATCATACATCAGCACATATCACTTATGCATACCAAAGTCTCATCATAAATTTACATAGCTTATGGACTTATTTATACATTTCTCATTTTTATAAAAGTAATGCCATAGGAAAAATATTTTTCCTATTCTACTTACATTTGCTTCTTACTCTAGCTCTTTCTTTGGAGGCTTATAACCTAACATGGTGAGTCATTAGGGGTGAGATTCGAGAGAACTTTAGTAGTAAATAATATCATTCAAGCATACAAGGTAAAAGTTTCATACATAACATATATTTGCATTGTATGACTTCATAACTAACATATTGACATGTTACATGCTCATACATCATACATGGACCATGAAACACTTAAAAACAAAGTTTCAAACATTCATTCATAATTCATAGAATCAAAGAAACTAATCATACATATCATCATGCAAGCATAAATACCAAGCATGCAATGAAGGGTAAGTTTACTACCTTTTAGATTTAGTATTTCTTCTTTGTTTTCCTTGCTTCCATTTGATCCCCCATGATTAAACCTCCAATTTTTTTCCATGACACTCATTGATCCTAAATATTTTCAATAGAATATTTATGATAATTATTAGAGCTAATAATTACATTGTCAATAAATGACAACTTACTCTTATTTAATTATTGCTTTCATTATCTTAATTTTTTCACTTTATTTTTTCTTTGACATAAAATTCTTGTACCAACATTTTCCTATTCAATTTTTCATAAGGAACTCATTTTTAAGTTCAAATTTGACCATTCTAACTCTTTCCTTTTGAACCATCCTTGATAGTAACTCTGGGTATTTGTGATCTTAAATTATGGTTTCTTTCAAGCTATTTTCATGCTTCATATGTATGTGTCTCAAGGCTAGGTTCGAAATCATATTTCATAAACTTAAATGCTTAACTAATAATTGCTTAATTCTTTAGAAAATTGGGTAGCATTTCTCCTTAAAATTGGCCATCCACAAATTACATCAAGCTTGAAATCAAGCCACCATTCATTAATAATCATCTCTATAATCATTTATAAGCCATTTTTTATCATTTAATCATCAAAATATCAAGCCTTATTATCTTTAGAAAAACAGGGCAGCATCTCATCACCATGAAAACTCAAGCAAAAATTATGAAAAATAGCTTAAAAAGAAGCTCTTCTATATCTCTCTCAATATACTAACTTATTCTTGCTTTCTTCATTACTTCCTCCATCTATACCACTCCAAACTCATCCTCTTGAAAAACTAAAATCATAGAAATGTTCCTCTTGATGAGAGGAACAACTTTTGTGAAGAGACTTTGAGGTAGAAATGTGAGTTTGATGGTAAGTTTGGTTGATTTTTCTTTTCTCTCTCAAACCTCATGCAAATCCATGGAAGAAGAAATGAGGAAGAAGAAATGGGGTATGGTGGTGTTTTAGAGGAAGATTGAATCAATTTTGATAATCTTTGAATTTTAAAATATCTAATTTTCCATTTTTTATTCTAGCCAATATTTTAATCAATTTTGGACCATGTAAAAATGCCTTACTTCTTCTTCCATTTCAGATCCAATTGACGTCACTACTCCCTCTAAATGGGCTTAAAATGAGCTCTTGCTAAAATTAACTATTTGACATGGGAAAAATTATTATTATCTTAACCTTGCCGAAAATCATGCAATTGAAAATATCTGAGTTGGACAATGGAAACCTTGCGAAAATCATGCAATTGAAAATAATAGGGAACAAGTTACCACAGATGGCATTTAGAATTGGTAATTCAAAGGAGCCGAGCTTATTCAAGCTAGGTTTAATTTAGGCTGGCTTATTCATATTGGCTTTGAAGTATCATACTCTCTCAAAAAAGCCCATATAATCAAGCCTAACTCTAACTTTTTTTGGCTGGACTTGGGTTGGCTCGTCAGGCTTAGCTAAAATTATCAATTCTATATACATATAAAGTTGGAAATTTTAGAGGTTGAGCTTATTCGAATTGGGCTCAATTCAGGCCGGGCTAATTCAGATTGAGCTTAAATTATC